TTCCTGCTGCAGGGTTAGCAGAGTCGGAGGCTTGGAAAGGTGACAGGCAAGGACTTGATTGGGCTTCCCCCATCTCGACTCCAGGAAGCTCCCTCCCATTGCACTCGGCCCTAGTAAAATGGGAACAAAAAATGACGAGCCAGGGCAAGCCAGCAGAGCCTCGAAACTGTGGGGCCATGGATCAGGGGAGGGTGATCTCTCTGTGTGGTCACCCTTTGTCTCTGGCCCCAGTCCTCAGGAGAAGAAGCCTGAAGATGAGAGGCAAGCCTTGCCCATCCCTGGTCCCAGGGGGGTGACAGCAGAGCCTCAGTCATCAGTGTCCAAGGACCATGACAGCTCTAGGCCTTAGAGGCCACTGTTCAGCACCCCATTTCACTGATGGGGAGCCAAGGTCTGAGGGGACACAGGGCCTGGCCTGAGACAGGGCCCAGCTCTCCTGTTGCCCAGTCCAGCGCCGTCCCGCACTGACTCAGCAGGCCTCTTCGGGCTCCCTGGGGCCACAGGCAGAGAAGCTGGGACCCTGCCCACGGAAGCAAGAGGGCCAAGGGCCACAGGGACCATGGGGGCTCAGGGAGGGAGGGCCAGTGCCAGGAGAAGGCTTCCTGGAAGGAAGGGTTTTACACAGCTAAAATGCTGAGGAGAATTTGAGTAGTTAACAGAGTGAGGATGGCTATCCAGGCAGGAGGGTGGCACGGGCAAAGACCAAGGGGGGTCCCCGAGGAGCCACTGGAGGAGGGAGAGCCCAGGCCCAGCTGAATTCATCCATAAACCTTCCAGGCCAGCCAGGCAGTGGGGGCCAGGGTGAATTCGGCCACCCTGCTTCTGGTACCACTGGCCACCCCTCCCCCTGAGGCTCTGCTTTTCCCACATCTGGGTCTGGTCACCTGCAGAATGGGAGCGGGCTGTGTCTCATTAATTGGGTGACAACACGGGCTGGTCCCTGGAGAGGACTGGAAAGGCCTCCTGGCTGCACCCAGAGGTTGGGCGGTGGGCAGTGGGGGAAGCCCGGCTCTGCCCAGGGCCACACATGGATCATGACAGTACATAGCCGCCTCCTGTGCTGTCCTTCCAGGGAGGGGTACCCCTCCTCCCCGTTTTAAAGTGAGGAAACAGGCTCGGCGGTGGGAGCTGTGGTCATTGTCACTCACCCAGAGAACAGTGGGGTCAGCCTTGGGCCCAGAGCAGCCAAGATCCCAAGTAGTTGTCTCATCCCAGTTTTGGCTCCAAAGGCAGTTGGGTTGGGGTGAGCACAGCCTTGCCCCTGCCAGGACCGAGCCCCCTTCCAGCCAGGTCTAGGCCTCCGTCTCTGCATCTGTAACTAGTGTGGGGCTCCCTGCTCGCCCTGCTGCTTGTGACTTTTACCTCTGGAGGCTCAACCCCTGTCCTTTCTGTGTAGCTCCAGCCAGACCCAGGGGACACTGAGGGCTTCAGGCCAGCAAGGGCGGGTAGGGGAGGTCAATGCAGGCCTAACCTCCCAGTGCCTCCCAGGCCAGTCCCCACCCAGGACACGGCCACAGCCGCCATTCCCTTGGCAAATCCTTCTCTGAGTACCACTCCTACGTCCAGTGAGGACTGGCTGGACCCATGCTGTGAGAGCCTCCCCCAGGGCCATGTACCTCCACTTTGCCCCTTCTACCAGCAGGAAGAACAAGGAGGACCAGGGATTGGTGTGCAGAGGTGTGCTCGTTGGAACTGATTCCTTCCTGCCCCCTCCCCAACCCCTGGAGGGCCAACCAGGTATCCACGCTGGTGCTGGCTCCAGCTCCAGCCCTTCTCAGGCTGCTGTGTCACCCAGTCTGACCCTCCTGGCGATACAGGGGGAGAGCACCATCGCCCCAGGCGAATGGATGGGCTCAGGGCACAGGAACAGAGCCTCTCGGGCTTAGCCGAAGGACTCTCTCCCCCAAAATGCACCCCCTTCTAAGTAGGTTAGGCTGAGGCCGAGGCTCTCCACCTTCCCTGGAGGCCTTGGTGGTGGTGGTGGCAGGGGCATTCCAACCTGCACCCTCATTCCTGACATATGACTCAGGCCTGCCTTCTGCCCCCAAGGAGTGTCTGTACCAGATGAGGAGACGCACATGGGAACAGACACCTGGAGCACCTGGTAACTGGCACCTTGCTAGAGGGGCTCACAGGAGGAGATTGTGGGAGCTTGGAGGAGACTCCCATGCCACATGCGTGGGGAGGCTTCCTGGAGGAAGTCGCCCCTGGACTAATTATTGAAGGATGAGTAGAAGTTAGCCAGATGAAGAAAGGAAGAAGAGCAAGGCAGGAGCCAGGTGCATGGGCGCCTCAGCCCCCCTTCCCCAGTCCTTCCCACTGCATCGTATAAGTCCGCTCCCAGTTATTGTTCATCCCTGCAACGAGGTCACCCTTCATCCTCTCCCCCCTTCCCTGTCATAAAGGCCATTGCAGACTGCCCTTGTCCTCCAGGAAACCTTCCTAACTCCCTGCTACCCTCCTCCCCAGTTCCTACCAGGCAAGAGCCTCTCAGCAGCCCCAGCAGTTCGGAAAACTGCCCCGTGTGCTAAGTAGCCTCATCGAGTGGCCCATTCATTCCCTTCCCAGGGCTGTGCTGTGGTTATCGACTGCAGATCGATGGCCAAGGCTGCCCCGAGTTGAGAGGGAATTCCCATGGTGCCCTATGGCCCAGCGGCCCTGCAGATGATCTTACAGAAGCGGGGCAGCTATTTTTTACCAGGCATTTAATTACAGAGTTTGGATCCCAGAGGAGAGATGAGATGGTGCTCCCAGGAGCTCTGAGGGAAAGGCCGTGCTGGGAAATGTGGGGATCCTGGCAGGAGGTGAGGGCATGATGACCGTCTTAGTTCCCCTAACATCAGGCTGAGCTCCCTCAGACAGGAGCTCCCCAAGACAGGGTAGGACCACATTACCCCATTTCTTTGCCACTGGTAGTTCTCACCCTGGCCTGGGCCCAGGGGTGGAATACATAAACACAGTGGGCTGGACATGTGCTCCCAGGACAGTGGCCACCTTGGGGGACAAGGAGGCAAGGCCCCCAAATGCCTGGACACACCAGTAGTTTGATGAGTCAGAATGATAAAGGCTGGACAGGCTGGGAACAGGAGGAAGCTGGATAAGGAGAGAGCTGCAATCCCTGCACTGGGACCTCTTCAGGAAGGCCAGGTTTGGAGGCGCCTGGGTGGCTCAGCTGATGAAACATCTACCTTTGGGTCATGATCCCAGGCTTCTGGGATCGAGCCCAGCACCAGGCTCCCTGCTCCATGAGGAAGAAGCCTGCCTCTTCTGTCTCTCTCTTCTCGTGAATGAATGAATAAAATAAAAATCAAAAAAAAAAAAAAAAAAAGGAGGCCAGGTTTGAATGGGAGCTCTGGAGGGAGCAGGATTTCAGAAAGTGGGAGCACAAGTAGACTGCAGACCATGGGGATGGAAAGAAGCCTGAGAGGGCAGTGCCTTCAGTGCCAGTAGAAAAAACAGGTCCTACTTAAACACTAGAGGGTAACTCCCTGGGGTCCTAGAGTCAGGGTGAGCATCCCAGGCCTGTCACTAACAAGCTGTGTGCTCTCAGGCCCTGTGCGAGGGCTTAGGCAGTGTCACAGCTGTGACATGCCTGGTGTGCTGGACACATTCATTTATTCATTCAGTGTTTTGTTTTATCTGTTTGTTTGTTTATAAAAGATATTATTTACTTATTTGAGACAGCGAGAGAGAGCAAGCATAAGCAGGGGGCAGGGGCAGAGGGAAGAGCAGGCTCTCCACTGTGCAGGGAGTGTGATATGGGGCTCGATCCCAGAATACTGAGATCATGCCCTGAGCCAAAGGCAGATGCTTCATGGACTGAGCCACCCAGGCGCTTACTTAATTTTTTTAGTAATCTCCATACCCACTGTGGGGCTTGAACTCAGGACCCTGAGATCAAGAGTCGCATGCTCTTCCAACTGAGCCAGCCAGGCGCCCCCATTCACTTAGTGTTTACTGTGCCTACTGTGTGCCCAGCACAAGGGACAAAGGCACTTGAAACACAGCATTCTCAGGGGAAGGGTGTGGAAGGGAGTGCAGGATAGGACAACTCAACCAAGCAGGGCAACAAATGGTATGTCAGATGGGGATAAGCACCACAGAGAAAAGTAAGCAGGTCTAGGGCATGCAGACACCAGTGCTGGGTGGAGCAGGAACATTCCTTAGGAGAGTGGTGGTCAGAGAAGGCTATTGGACAAGATGGTATATGAGCAGACCCTGGTAAGGGAGTGTGGGGGAAAGGGCATTCCAGGCAAGTGCCAGAGAGAATTGCAGGTGCAAAGGCCCTGGGGTGGGACCTAGCAGCAGCCAGAGCAGAGTGGGCGAGAAGTGGCAGGAGATAAACAACTCAGGGAGGTAAGTGGAGGCAGATCGTGTGACGCCTTGCGGGTTATGAGTAGGACTTCTACTTTTACCCTGAGTGGAATGGGAGCCAATGCAGGATTATGAGCAGAGGAGGGACCTGATCTGTCTTGTTTTGGGAGCGATGGGTGTGTTCCTGGGTGGAGAATGGACTAGGGGTGAGGTGAAGTTCCAGGGGACCAGTGAAGAGGCTGCTGAAGTGCTGCAGGGGCGGGAACAGATCATGCGGGCCCCTGGAGGGCAGCTCAGAAGATGAGTGGGGCAAAGGTTGGGTTCTTGGCATGTTTCGAAGGCAGAGCCAAGAGGATTCACAACTTCCTCCTGCCCAGCGCGTTTGAGGGCCCTCAGGAGAGGTCAGCTTGGGAAGCCAAGTAGGGGGCTCTGAGGACCCTGCATCAGGGCACCTGGCACCCCAGAAACGACCTTGAGCATGCCGTTTGAAGGGTGCGACTGGGGGCTGGGGGGTCCCCTCCTGCAGACAGTGCCCCCCCCCCGCCTCCCTGGTCGTCTTTCTCTGCCCTGCAGCCCCCAGCCCCCAGCCCCCCAGCCCAGCACGCAGCCCCGGGGACCCCCGGGGGACGGGGGGAGGGCGGAAGGGCCGAGGACCCGGAGTCACTCGGCTCCCCTGTCGCCCACAGCCGCAGGGGGCTGCGATGGGACGGGAGCCATGAATGGTGCCGCCGCCGCCCCGGTCCCCGACTGGCGGCAGTTCTGCGAGCTGCACGCGCAGGCGGCCGCCGTGGACTTCGCGCACAAGTTCTGCCGCTTCCTGCGGGACAACCCGGCCTACGACACGCCCGACGCCGGCGCCTCCTTCTCCCGCCACTTCGCCGCCAACTTCCTGGACGTGTTCGGCGAGGAGGTGCGCCGCGTGCTGGTGGCCGCCCCCGGGCCCGCCCCCGCCCCCGGCCCCGCCCGCATGGAGCCCGCCGCGCTCAAGGCCGCCGCCTACGGCCACTCGCGGAGCTCGGAGGACGTGTCCACGCAGGCGGCGGCCAAGGCCCGCGTCCGCAAGGGCTTCTCGCTGCGCAACATGAGCCTGTGCGTGGTGGACGGCGTGCGCGACATGTGGCACCGGCGCGCCTCGCCCGAGCCCGACGCGGGCGCCGCCCCGAGGGCCGCCGAGCCCCCGCCGAGCCTCGCGACAAGTGGACGCGGCGCCTGCGGCTGTCGCGGACGCTGGCGGCCAAGGTGGAGCTGGTGGACATCCAGCGCGAGGGCGCGCTGCGCTTCATGGTGGCCGACGACGCGGCGGCGGGCGCGGGCGGCGCGGCCCAGTGGCAGAAGTGCCGCTTGCTCCTCCGCAGGGCCGTGGCCGGCGAGCGCTTCCGACTCGAGTTCTTCGTGCCGCCCAAGGTGAGCGGCGCCGGCGCAGCGTCTGAAAGCCAACCTAGCTGTGGCCGGCCCTGCTGCGCGCCCCGCGCCCCGCGACCCTGACCCGCGCCCCGACCCGCGACCCGCGACCCGCCGCTCCGCTCCCCCGGGAGGCAGCTTGGGGGCAGCCTGCAGAGCCCGGGGCAGCTGGGGCCTCCTGCAGGGTGGCAGACCTGCCCTATTCGGAAATTGGGAATAACTGTAACTTTAGTACCCATTTTCTGAGGGCACCCGGCATGCTGAGCCCTGAGCCTGGCGCACAGCCTCCTCCCCCCAGCCTCCCGGCCGCGGGGAGGGGCATCATGGTCCCCAGGTCACCCAAGAGAGAACAAAGGAATACTCGAGAGGAGGTGCGGCCTGGCCTGCCCAAAGTCACAGAGCTGGTGGGTGGCACAGCCGGGCTGATTATAGTCCCCACCCCGGTGGTCCTGAGAATGGAGGAGCTGGAGGTGGGAGCTGCTCGTGTGCTGGGAGGTTCGGAAAGGTGGGCGGTTGTGCTGATGCAGCTGGCAGCACCCCAAGAACCACCCAGCCCTCCCCCCCTACTCCCAGGCACCTTTAGTCACCCTGAGCCTCTCGCCTCTCTCCATCTCCTCATCTGTCAGGACTCTGGGTGCCCCTCCTTGCCTCTACTCCCTGGAGGTGCAGGGTGTGGGCCCCCCAAGGCTGGGTGCATGGACTCTGGAGAGATGACTTCCCAAGGGGTTTTTCCCTGCCGGGCACCCACCATTAGGCCCCTCAGAGAAATCCTAGACAACCAAGCCAGCTCCACTACTTGTCAGAAGGGAGACCTGGGCCTGGCGAGTGGGGCAGGCAGGGTGGGGCTTGCCCAGAGTCACCCAAAGGGCAGAGGCCCAGGGCTCAGGGCCTGTGGGCCTGAGTGGCAGTTACAGCTGCCCCGCTGTAAATAGCGTCTGCTGCTCTTGGGGAGGGGTGGGGTGCAGCAGCTGGCACCTCTCTTTTAGCCTCTCCCATCCTACCATTCACCGCTGGCAGAGGGCAGGGCTCTTGAGGGCTCAGGTTCCCAACCTTGGAAGAAGACAGGCAGCTGGGTTCCTAATGCCCAATCTGGCCTCAGACCCTCCTTTTCCCAGGGAAGGGTTTGTGAATTCAGGTGCAAGCCCCCCAGGAAGGCAGACAATACCATGCTGAGGGCTTAGGTCAGTTTCCCCAAATGTGTTGGGTCCCAGGGTGAGTGGGCCCCTACAGGGCCTCCCTGAGGACACCGCCTCCCAGTGCCTTTTAGTCCCACTTTCCCACCCACAGTCCAGATCTCCTTCTGCTCCTGGGGGCACCCTGGGAGCACAGGAGTGTGGGGTCTGCAGGCTCCGGGACTTTTTCCTGGGGTCTTCAGACTTTGCTCTCACCTGGCCCCATGAGTCAAGCCTCTGGCCTCCTGCCCCCTCATCCTCCAGGAAGCCTCCTGGGCCTCAGGTGCCCCAGAGCCCTTTGCGAGGACAGCCCCGGAGAGAAGAGGGCCTGGCCCCACGCTGCTGGGGAGCCATCAGGAAACCTCCATGTGCAGAACCAGACAGTAAACGTCAGTGGAGTGAGCACTCGCTCTGGGAATCCTAAGGACAGAAGCTTGCACTGCATCACTGTCCACCAGGAGCAGAGCCCCCAAGACAGGCATCTCTGGAGACACAAGCAGAGTGAGGAAAGGCTAGAGATGTGACACCACCTGCAGGTTCTGGCCAGAGAGTGGGAATAGGGGAGGTGCAGGGTCAGAGGCCACCACTGGGCTAGCTAGGACAGATGCATCTCAAGCACCAGGCAGAGGAATCGGCACCTGCAGCCAGTGGAAGCCCAGTTAAAGCCCCCAGTCTAGGCCTGCACCATCCATCTGTGTCTCCTCTCCCTACTCCCAGATCACGACCCCCTGCCCTGCCGGCTGGTAGGATGGCCTGCCCTGGTCAGCTGAGGCCCTTCGGCACTGCTCCAAGCCCAGCCCTGCATCCGCTGGATGGCAACCAGCACTACCAGGAATTCCCATTAGCCTGCCCACCCAATGTGTGGCGCTTCCCTTTCCTCCTGAGAAAGTCCCTGTCCCAGAGCCCAAGCCCTGCCGGGAAGCACAGTCTTAAACCAGCCCTGGGGGACTTGAGGGCCAGAGCCAAGAGCCTTGGAGCAGAGTGGAGAGAGCCAAGCACAGAGTGGCCCTCCCTGGAAGCCCTGACAGCTCACCTGGGTTAAAACCCCACACTGGTCCCTTGACCTCCACCTGGGGACATGGCCATGCCCAGCTTCAGGAGCCCTGTTCCAAGTCAGGGACCCCAGAGCCATGCTCTGGAAAGTCCAATCTGAAGGGGGAGGGCAGCATTTTTTTCTCAAAGGAGCTAGGAGAAACTAGAAATTATCTCACTGCACCACGCACAGCATAAACATTGTCTGGTGAGACGTTTGTTTCGGAAACACTTTTACCTAAAGTGTGTACATCATGGGCCACGGTGTCAGATCTGTTTCTCAGTCTGGGTTGGGGTCAAAAACCACAGATGTGGGTACACGGGGCGGGAGGGCAGCCTGGGGAGGCGTTTCCCCTCCAGGCTCAGAGCTGGGAGAAGCAGATGTCGGTTCCAGCTCTGTCTGTGCCTCACTGTGTGACAGTGTGGGGAGGTCCCTTTGTTTCCCGGAACCTCCCCCCCCCTCACCCATCTGTGAACTGGTGATTGGAATACCCCCATGCTGGGGCTGCCATGGTGCTCTAAGCTGAGGGTTAGGAGGGGACAGAGGGTTTCAGGAGATGCTGGGTGACTCTCACGGTCCCTTCCCCTGGCCTTCCAGGCCTCGAGACCCAAAGTCAGCATCCCTCTCTCGGCCATCATTGAGGTCCGCACCACTATGCCCCTGGAAATGCCAGAGAAAGACAACACGTTTGTGCTTAAGGTAAGCCCCCCGCCCCCGCCCCACAGATACCCTGGCCACCCCAGCCCCCGCGCCCTCCACCGTGGGCAGCACAGCCTGAGGCTGCGTAGTGGGAAAGAGGGTAAGGAGCCAGCCGCAGGAGCTCTGGTGGCGGGGCCCGGGACCCTACCCAGCTGTCTGGCACACAGCTAGGACTTGAATCTGGGCCTGGCCTAATAGGGCTGCATGCTCTGGGTGTCACCCACCATCTGGGGCCCCCTCTTCCCATTTCCTCCTGGCCTGGTGAAGCTCCTCTGAGTTTCACTTCCTCGCCTCCCTTCCCCAACTGGAACCAGCCTATACCCACCCCATGGCCTACAACAGTTATGCAAATGCAGCCCCCCCCCCCCCCCCCCCCCCCCCCCGTCTCTGGGCACCAGAGTGTGGGAACCTGTCCCGTCCCACAGATGGTACAAAGGCATTGGGGGTGGCCGGGGAGGTGGGTCTGGGGGCAGCCCGTCCTTTTCCCAGGCTCCGCCACACCAGGGTGGCCTGCTTGGGTTGCTGAGGACACGGCTCCGGGCTGCCAGGGCTGTGGCCCGGGGCCTCCTCAAAGCACTGGGCATTTGTGAAGCCAAGCCCCCAAGGAGGCCTGGTTCCACCCACCTAGAGCTGCATGGAACACCCCCCTCCTCCACAGGCTCCCCGTTGGGTTTATGTTTTACTTGTCCCTGTTTGTTTAGCCATGAACTCCCTTATTCATTTAGCAAACATTTGCCAACCCCATACCCTGAGTCACCCCAGGCCCGGGGGCTGAGGACACAGTCCCTCCCTGCTTGGCATTCTTGTCCGCTGGGTGCGACAGGCCCAGAGCCTCGCTTCCAACAGCCAGCCTGCCACTGTGTGGGGGACTGTGCTGCCTGCCGGCCTCACTTTGGCCTCTGTTTCCCCATCTAATCAGATAAAGGTTGAAGGTGGTCTCTGAGGCTCTCCCAGCCCTGACATGCTGGGAGGCAGCAGCTGTATTTTAACTGGGACACACACAGGAAGCTGAGAGCCCGGAGCCTTGGCATCACGGAGATCTGGGTTCAGGTCCCAGCACCACCACTGAGTGCTGGTGTGAACAAGTCATCTGACCTCTCTGACCTTCAGTCTTCTCCTTTGTAAAATGGGGAAAACCTCCCACCTCCCTCACAGGGGCTGTTGGGAAAAGGTCATCAGATAAAGTCTGTGCAGGATTACACTCTGGGCCACAGCAGGGCTTTCTCCTCCTCCCTTTCCCTGTGGGCACTGACTGTCCCAGTGGCCTGGCCACAGAGGTAGAGTTCTAGGCACTCAGGTGTGGGAGCCCCTCAACTCCGTGTGCTGGGGCCAGCTGGGCCCTTCATTGACTTGAGGGTTGTGATGTTCTTTTACCCCATCTCCTGGGTGCCAGGCCACCGTGGCTTCCTCAGAGGCTGCATCTCCAGTGCCTGAGGACCTGAGTCAGTGGGGCCAGACATCATCCCCGGCGATCCCCACTGGTGGGCCCCAGGCTGCTGAAAGTGTGGCCAAGGCTCCACCCCGAGACCCTGGCCTAGGCTTGGGGTGGTGACCCCACTGTCTTCTGGGCTGCCTGCACCAGCGAGCCCCCATGGAGGAGGGTTGGGACGAGTCATTTGCCCTGGAGTGTTCTGGGGCTCTGTACTGAGGGCGCTGACAGACCTGGACTCTCGGCACCCCCTCCTAGGTCGAGAATGGAGCTGAGTATATCCTGGAGACCATCGACTCACTGCAGAAGCACTCGTGGGTGGCTGACATCCAGGGCTGTGTGGACCCCGGGTGAGTGCCCAGGTGGCCCTAGAATGGGTAGATGTGGGGGGCTGGCCAGGGAGTGCCCGTGGTCCCCCCTTCCATGGGGAGGTTTCCCGTGAGGGCAGGAGCTGAGCTTGGGAGCTGGGCTTTTCTCACTGTAGTCCTGGCCAGGCTCCTCTGTACCCCTAGCCCCAACAGACCCTTTGAGGCCTGCTTGGACCTGGCCTGGGCCTAAGGACCTAGAAGAAACTTGGCCTGAGACTTGTCTTCACTCCAGGGGAGTCTGAGACCAATAGGAGGTGGGCAGTGATGGGGTGAGCCCGAAGGGCCAGGGGTGATGGAACAGAGGCAAGGCCCCAAACCCAGCCCTGGGGCTCAGAGCTGATATGCTGGTAGAAGTACTCCCCTCCTCCAAGACTTAAGGAAGAGCAGGTCTGAGCCAGGCAGAGGGGACCCCCGGCCTGCCAAAAGTGTGAGGTATACGAGGGCCTGGGACTCACACAGGGGATGTCAAGGCTTTTGGATAGCCAGAGGTAGAGCTGATGAGGGGGACTTTGATGAAAGCCTGGAAGCTAAGCTGGTAGGTCGACGGCAGCAGGCAGCCATGGCTGGTAATAAGCAGAGGGCAGCTACAGTCAGCTATGTGAGGAGGAGCAGCAGCAGGGAAGCTGGCTTCATGATCCAGGAGAGATCCCAAGGCCAGGAGTAGGAGGCGCAAGGCCAGGAGCAGGAGGGGTAGGCCGGCCAACAGCCAAGCATTTGGCAGCAGCTCTTCTGGCCGAATGGGGTGAGCCAGGCCCGGGGGAGGGGCTGCTGCTTTCTAATTAACAGCTTCATTTGAGGAAGCACAATTAAAGGCCTGAGTGCCTCCCAGACCCCCCTCCCTGCTCCATCCCCCAAATGGCTGCAATCCCTCCCCTGCCACCCAGCCATCTGCCCTGCAAACTCCCACCCCCCCACCCCGCCCAGCCCCTGGGAAAGCGAACCTCACTTTACAGTATTTTGGAGCTGGCAGGATCCCAGACACCTCATATCACAAACAGGGAGACAAAGGTCGGGGCAGTGAGGGGAGCTGCCCTGCCATCATTTGAGGGACACCTGCTGGGGTCCCAAGAGGCCATGTCCATCGTGGCCACAGAGCAAGCTGACAGTGTGTAACAGAGGGACATGGAGGCAGAGGGACCCAGATGAGCAGGATAGGGCTGCTGCTGGCCGTGGAACTGTCAGCCATTGCATCCCGAGGCTCCTCGAGCAGCTAGCTGGTGGTTGGGGTCCGAGTCCCATGGCAGGACACCGTTGTGCTTCCCTGCCTTTGCAGGGACAGTGAGGAAGACGCTGAGCTCTCCTGTGCCCGGGGAGGCTGTCTGGCCAGTCGAGTGGCCTCCTGCAGCTGTGAGCTCCTGACGGATGGTATGTGGGGAGCAGAGCTGGCTGGAGGAGTGGAGGGCAGGTTAGAGGGGGTGGTTGGTCCCGGGTGGCTTCCTACCTGCTACTTCTCCAGCAGGGGACCAGCCCCGGCCCCCAGAGACCATGGCAGCCGTGGTGACAGCTCCACACAGCCGAGCTCGAGATGGCATTGGGGAGTCCCTGGTCCATGTCCCGCTGGAGACCTTCCTGGAGACCCTGGAATCCCCAGGTGGCAGCGGCAGAGACAGCAGTAACACAGGTATGATGCACAGTCTTCTCTCCCTGGGCTCCTCACCCCCATCCCAGGCCACAGAGGCCCTCAGACTCCCCTGAGGACCTTCCTGAGCCTCAGAAGCCATGATGTTTCATCCCACCAGGTCCAGCGCATGGCAACTTGGTAGTTCTGGCTTTTGTAGGCAAGTCTGGGAAGGGGACCCCTCCCCCAGGCCCTGGATTCCATGGAAAATACTGGTGGGAAGGAGTGGAGCGTAAAGGGTTGGAACCAGAAACTGGGGACAAGGAGACTTGACTTGTTCCCAGGTTTCCTGCTGACTTACAGAGTGACTCCAGGACACTCGGTTTCCCTGTGCTTCAGGTTACCTCCTATGCCAAACAAGTGGGTCGGGCTGGTTCCTTGCCTTGTTCTAAGACCGTTCAAACAGCATTTTACGGGCAAATACTCAACCAGCTGTTGCATCTCTTCTCTCATTTACTCATTCCCCCCCACACACACACACCTCTGCTTCCCCAGGCCCCTCACACTGTCACCCCTCTACAGGGGAAGAGGGAGCAGAGCCGGAGCCCGAGGCCGAGCCGGAGCTGGAGCTCTCCGACTACCCCTGGTTCCACGGGACCTTGTCACGGGTCAGGGCAGCTCAGCTGGTGCTAGCAGGCGGGCCCCGGAGCCACGGCCTCTTCGTGATCCGTCAGAGTGAGACTCGGCCTGGGGAGTACGTGCTGACCTTCAACTTCCAGGGCAAGGCCAAGGCAAGTCGGGGGTGGGGGTGGCACAGGGGAGCAGCATGGCCAGCCCTGAGGGAGGGGTATCGAGGTGGTCCTGGTCCTGAGGCGTGCCCTCACCTCACCTACATCCCCCTACCCCCACCGCCCTGAGGAGTGTAATCAGCCCCAGATGTGGTTTCTTAATTACCAGATGGGGAACTCACTCACTGGTGGCTGAGCCCACAGGAAGCCAGGCCCTTCTAAGGGTTTGCCTTTGACCCTGTGCACTGGAGATCACTTACCACTAAGGTTTCTGAGGATCTCTACGCACAGCCACATTGGTGCAGGGCTGAGGTCAACCACCACCATGCCGCCCCACCTACCCCCAGGTGACTCCCTTCTGCCCCGCTCTGTAGGGTCAGTTCACCAGCCTCTCCTGGGCCCCAGCTCTGAGCCAGGCCTGTGGCAGGCCCAGGGTCACAGAACCACGCACAGGCGGGCCCTCAAGAGCTGGGCAGGAGAGGAGATGGACTGGGCCCTACATTCATGCAGAGTCTACAGGGCCACAGAGCCGGGGGTACTCCTGAGCCCACCAGCCAGAATAAGGGGGTTGGTGACCTGAGGCATGCAATGGATGGAGAATCCTTGAGGAGATCCAGACAGGGCACAACAAGTGGGGAGGGCAGTGCGCCTAGATGGGGGGGGGGGGCTCTTGAGGAAGGATGCTGTGTGCTAACAATGTGCTAATAATAATAAGGGGCAAAGGAAAACATGACAGGAAAGTCAGATGATGTTGGGGCAGGGGATGGCTTGTGGTTACACTGAGACCAGAATGAGCTGGAACCTCAACCCAGCTCCCCCCAGCATCCCGAATCTCCAATAACGATACAGACCTGGCCCCGGCTCCTCCCAGAACACAGTTCCCATCAGTCCCTGCTGGAGGAGGGAGCACCCCAGGGCTCCCGCTGCAGGCCTGCTCTGGGGGTCAGTGTCCCAATCCCTGGTTGGCCTGGCACAGGCCCTCCCCTGCTCCCTGGGCATCTCTCCTTGGCAGCGTTGGCCCACCGTGGAAGAGGCAGCACCTCCCCTGGGACACCTCGGAAAGCAGCTGCCCTTAACTAGTTCCTCTGGCAACCAGGCGCTTAACGCTGTCCCTGGCAGTCCTAAGTTTACTGCTGGGCCAGCAGCGCCCCGGGCGGCCTCCCTGGAGGGCCTGGATCTGACTCCTGCCCAAGCCAGAGCCTAGGATGGCGCCCAGCCCTCTGTGGGGCATGGTGGGGGTGGTGAAGCAGGGTGGGAGGCTCCTCTCCTTCCTAGGGCACGACCCAGCCTTGAACTTGCCCCAGCTGCCACCCTGTCAGAGCGGGGTGACTGTCCAGGGTTTGACAAGTTAGTCGTGGGGTAGAGCAAGACCTCCAGCCTCCTGCCAGCACACCTCCTAGGAAGAATGACCTCTGTCTTCCCAGGCAGTTCCTTTCACCTTCCGATAATAAATGTCTGGAAGGTTTTCCCCAAAATTGAGATGGACCTGCCCCCTGAGGCCCAGCTCTGCCGAGGCCTTTGCCTTCAAAGGACCCACCCAGACTTGAGGCTGTCGTAGGCCCCCACTACGCTGTTCTCCCCAGCTGAGCCCCTGCCCTGGCTGCCAGTGATGCTCCCTGGGTTCACTACACTGTTCTGGCAACTTCTGGCCATGCTGAGTAGCAGAACTCACTCATGAGACCACCTTCCACCCCCAGGGCCTCTCTGTCCTTTATGTAAGGGGCCAGGCCAGCTTCCCCTCCTCCTGGGCTCGGAGTCACATGCATACCCTAAAACCCTGCTACCTCTGACCCTCTTGCCACCCACCCCCCAGAGACAGCCACTCTTCCTCCTGTGGGACACGTGTTGAACAAAATAGGGCTGAAGCCAGAGACCTGTGGCTCACCACTAGAGACCACAGGCCTGAGGTATCACCTGTCACATGCGGGCCCCGGGGACCCTCAGAGGACCCAGCTCTGTTCCTCATGCTCCAGATACTCCCACTGCAGCATAGCTGAGATGGACATTTGGTCCCTCCTCCCCAGCTAGACTTGGGGTTGTTTCTGGCCCCCTGGATTTTGGCTGTGCAGGAACAGCAGGCCAGCACCTAGCCTGCAGGGCCAAGAGAATCACACAAATGCGTTCTCTTCCCAGCTTTGTGACTGGGGGGAGTCCCTCCTTTCCCATGCCTCAGTTTCCCCATCTCTAACATGGAGGCTATAATCTCCACCTTCTGGGGTTATTGGAAACTAGAGATGGGGTTGCAAAGGGCAGGATGCAGGTGCTTCTAGCATAGGGACAAATGCATGGCTCCCTTCAGTCCCAGCCTGGCTCTGTTCCCTTCCTTCCCCATCCTCACTACAGGTGCGACCCCCTGAGATGGGGCTCGATGTGTGAAGTGCCCACGTGCTCTCACACTGCCCCATCTGGCCCCTGTGACACTTGGTACTTGTAGTCACCCCCAAAAGTGCTTGCAAAGCAGTTGGCTAGCCCAGAACTCCATCTCTGACCTCCCCCCACCTGTGCCCACAGCACCTGCGCCTGTCCTTGAACGGCCACGGGCAGTGCCACGTCCAGCACCTGTGGTTCCAGTCTGTGCTGGACATGCTGCGCCACTTCCACACCCACCCGATCCCCCTGGAGTCCGGGGGCTCTGCAGATATCACCCTGCGCAGCTATGTGCGTGCCCAGGGCCCCCCACCCGGTAAGGCCCCCCACTTGGCCTGTGGGATAGCTCAAGAAGAGACGGGGTGGGGGGCGGGCAGGAGGGGAAAGGAGGCACCCGCAGGGCCACCAGGATGGGAGAGAGGGTGGCAGCCCGGGGAGCCCGGCCAGGTCCTGAGTGATTCGGGGCAGGCCGAGGGAGGTGGCTCAGAGGAGCACCGAGGGGTTCTCTGGGCTCCTGCAAAGGGGGGGCTCAGCGCGGAGGAGGGGGAGGGGCAGGTCAGGCTGTCGGGCACGCGCGTTGGGAGTGCCCTGTTGCCCACAGCGGCGACGTTAGTTGGGGGGGGGGCTGCCCCCGCCCCGGCACTGCGGGTCCCCGCGTCCCCGTGTGGCCCCGGAGCTGGGGGCCGGGGTGGGGCGAGGGTGCCCGGCTGGGCCTGACGCGCCGCGCTCCCCCGCCGCAGCCCCGGGGCCCTCGGCCGCGCCCGCGCCCGCGCCCCCCGCCTGCTGGAGCGAGCCGGCCGCCCAGCACTACTTCTCCAGCCTGGCCGCCGCCGCCTGCCCGCCCGCCTCGCCGTCGGAAGCGGCGGGCGCGTCGTCCTCGTCCGCCTCGTCGTCCTCGGCCGCGTCCGCGCCCGCGCCCGCAGCCCCGCGCCCCGCCGACGGCGCCCTGAGCGCGCGCAGCCGCAGCAACAGCGCCGAGCGCCTCCTGGAGGCGGGGCCCGGCGGCGCCGACGAGCCCCCCGAGGCGGCGGCGGCGGCGGCGGACGGGGCGCGGGGCCGCGCGCGCGCCGTGGAGAACCAGTACTCCTTCTACTAGCCCCGCGCCGCGGGCGGGAAAAGCAAAGCTCTTCAGTGAAGACATAATGTTATTAAAGAGCCTGTTTTAGGGACTGCATTCGGCTCTCCTGTCGTCCTTTCTTCCGCCCTGGCCTCCGACACTGCTTCTCTGGGCACCCCCCTCCTCACCCCCGACCTCCGTCGAGCCCACACCCAGCCCTTGTCGTTTAGGGGATCCAGCGCCCCGGCCGGCGGAGGTGGGGGCCAAGCGGCAGAATCTGGAGGAGGCACAGAGCTGAGGCGCCAGGCCCCACAGCGGGGCTCGGGCGGGAGGGATGGGGGAGGGGGCTTCAGTGGAACCGTGGGTGAGGGGTGAGGGGTGACCGAGCAGACGCCTGGGGTCAAGAATGAAGGCTGGCGGAGGGTAGGGAAAACAGGAGAAAGAAGGGGCCCCTTTCGGCAGGGACACAGTGAAGATGGGGGCTGGGGAAGTCATGGGGCTTTGAATGCCAAGATGAGGAGCTGGTCCCTGGCTAAGAGAGTAAGGGTGTTCTTGGGCAGGTCAGTAGGGGTGGTGGGGGCGGGGGGGGGCAGGTTTCCTCCACATTAGGGATTGGGCAGTGGGAGAGGCTGGTTGACTCAAACTTGGGAGAGGCCTGAGGGTCCTTCCCCCCTCCCACCCCCTCGACCCTCTCCTGTACCCCCTCACCCCAGCCCATGCTTCCCTGCAAGCAGAGGTCCAGCTGTGGCTCCTGTGTCCCTGGGCAATGGAGACAGCCTACTCAAAGTCACAGCACTCCAGCCCTCAGGCCATACTCCCTCTGAGAAGGATTTCCTTCCTGTCAAGCTAAAGAGTACCCACCTACCCTAAATCCAAAAACCTGGGACCACAGATCCAAGGTGCCTCTGCCCAGGAGTGCCCTTGCAGGGCCTGCGCCTTTGATGTGCCATTCAGACCCCCAGACCGCTAATCCTCTTGCCTCTGCAGCCGCAGCACCCATACGCCCTTCCCCACGTGAGGGGCACCAGCACCCACACTGGGCTCCCACAGCTTTGCTGCTGCTCCCAATTCACAAAATGACCTGGAAGTGACTGAATAGTGCCCCTGCTGCCACCTCAGAGAGGGAGGAGTACAAGGCCACTGCTCTGCAGAGCAGCCTGTGCCTCAGCTTCCCACATCTCCATTCATGTGGCCAGGGCTACTTTGCGCTCTTGCTCCCTTCCCCCAGTAGTTTGGGATGTGCCCCACCCAGACAGGAGCAGAGCAGGTCTGGGGTGAGGCTCAAGCTGGCCAGAAGCCCAGCAGCTGGCGAGAGCTTTGCATGGCGGCTCTCTGCCACTCAAGCATCTGGAGTCACTGAACATTCTTTCCCTCCAGCAAGAGGCTGAGTCCCAGACAGTGCCCCAATCCTGGGGCTCCAGCCTTCTCCCTCAGTGGAATGCCCCTCGGAAGTGTTCAGAGTGGCCTCAGGGTAGGGTTAAGACTTGAACACAAAGTATGTCGTCCTTCAGGCCCTCTCCTCCCCCCTCAACCCACCCTGACACAGTTCCTGCCCAAGCAGGAACCTGGGGCACTCCTTTAGCCTGTTGCCTTGGCTGAATTGGGGGCACATGAGAAAGGAGAAGATGGCCTGCACCCACCCCGAGGATGGTAGTCCGACACTGTTTCTGAGGTGTTCCCAGAGTAAAGTGAATTGGGGGGGGGGAACGGCAGAGAATGAGAACCCCCTGGGCACTCTAAGGTACACCTGGCCCTGCAGCAAGATGTCAAGTGGAAAGGGGGCTCTTTCCATGACATGGCCCCCAAGGCAAGATCCTTAGGCCTGCTACTCAAAGTTGTGCTTCCAGAAAGCCCAGACTCTATGGGACCCTGGGGAAGCCATAGCCATGGCCCAGTGGCAGCAGCATTTCCGGGGTGGGGGGGGAAGCACTTCAGATGCCCACTGGGTGCCTGGTCGGGCCCACAAGATAGCAGGGGGGCAGCCAGGCAGGCCAGAGGGCTGGCCCAGGCACTACAGTCACATGGCCAATGTGCCCAGGCTGCCTGTTGCGGGCACTGATGGGGCTGGGGACCCCAGGTGCGAGGGATAGGGAGTAGTATGTGAGAACAACCAGCTTGAGAAAGTCTCGAATGCCAGCCAGAACTGAGGGGCACTGGGGATCCAGAGCTAGTTTGAGATGGGAGCAAAGGTGGTCAGCTGGGGTGGGAGGGGCGGGGGGGAAAGATGGATTGGAAAGGGCAAAATAGAGGGCAAGGGGCCAGGGAGGCTGTTGTAGGTGTGGGGAGGGCAGGGCAGAGAGCTGGGGAAAGGAAGATTGTCCATAGGCTGATGGGAGGGAGCTTGAGGCTAGGAGGCCAGTCGGACCCACCTGGAGACCTATACCCAAGAGCTTCCCACACGGAGAGAAGGAAGAACTCTCGCCCTCCTCCAGCAGGGGGTTCCAGGGACTGTCTCCACCAGGGACCATACCGTCCAACCCTTGCTGCCAGATCTCCCAGCTCTCCCTCCAGGTAAGAGATGGGGTTACAGGTCTTCTCTATGAGCTGCAGAAGGGGAACTGTGGCTACCAGAAGTCTCCAAGATGAAGAGCTGAGGGCGGTGGAGAGGCGAACCACTGCCGTTGATTCACTCTCTTGGGAGGGGCCCTCGGGCCAGAGGCAGGGACATGGTGAGGCTCAGTCTGGGCCCGTGTGCATGACCGAGGCGACCTGGTCTCAGAGGGCACCAGGCTAAAGCAAAGGTGTAAGGTCTCTCCGAGAGGGCACCCAGGCCTGTGTGAGGTGGGTTTTCCCTTGCTTCGGCCACACACCAGCCAGACCAAGAAGTGGGAAAATGCTCTCCGTCCTGCCTGCAGACATGAAGCTGAACTTGCTCCAAGGTGGTCATTGCCATGGGAATGGAGGTGTGTGTGCCAGGGGATCTATACCTGTCCCTCCTCCATCAACGTGCAAAGCCAGTATTTTATGGCCCTGGTGGTGAAAATACTTTCAGAAATAGAAGCAGGGTACCAGCAGTTATTCAAATGAACAGTCTCCTGTTGGTGCTCCAAACAGCCAAGTTGGAGCCATTTTGGAATAGAACATGTAAAATTCCTGGGACCTAGGAAGGGGGAGGGGTTCTCATATGCCTAGTGTTAAGAGACATCAAAGCAGAGCTCTAATGCAAATTTTGAGTAATGAATCTCAGTCATTCTCCCCAAATCCTTTAAAAAGGCAAAAAAAAAAAAAAAAAAAAGAGGGGCACCTGGGTGGCTCAGTCAGTTAAGCATCTGACTTCAGCTAAGGTCATGATCTCGAGGTCCTAGGATCACCTCCAGGGCTCCATGCTCAGTAGGGAGTCTGCTTTTCCCTCTGCCCTTCCTTCCCCCAGCTAGTGCTCTCTCTTTTTCTCAAACAAATAAATAAAAATCTTTTTTTTTTTTTTTTTTTTTTTTAGTGAAAAAGGCACCTGGGTGACTCAGTTGGTTAAAACATCCAACTCCTGATCTCTGTTCAGGTCTTGATCTCAGGATCATGCACTCAAGCCCTGGATTAAACATGGAGCCTACTTTAAAAAAAAAAAATTTTTTTTTAAGTAAAAAAGATTCATCTGGCCCAAATTGCCATCCTGCAGATGGAAAAGGGCAAGTATCCTTAAGCTCTTTTGTGTCTCAGATCTCATAATAGTCTGATGAAGCCTACAGACACCTGCTCAGGATAATGTTTTAAAACTCATGGGGACACCTGGGTGGCTCAGAGGTTGAGTGTCTGCCTTCAGCTAAGGTCATGATCTAAGGGTCCTGGGATCAAGTTCCACATCAGGCTCCTTGCAGGGAGCCTGCTTCTCCCTCTGCCTATGTCTCTGCCTCTCTCTGTCTCTCATGAATAAATAAATAAAATCTTAAAAAATAAAACTCATGACAAACCCATAGATTTGCAAAGGAAACAAAGTATACTTCAATCAAAGTATTAACTAAAGAAAAAATAATTCCAACAAAATTTTGAACTTGCAGTACGGTAATATATGTGCTTCTTTATTAACGTTTTAAATAGCAAGCTCTAGCGACGGCTCTAATAACCACCAGAATTCCAAAGAATAACGAGTGTAATTCGTACTTCCAAGTTTCTGCAATTGAGATCTGATATGAAAATATCCCTGACTTCTAGCCATGGCAAAGTGGCAGGTACTGCTAATACTACTATGGTTTCTCCTTAAATTAAAGAACTGTAGCTCTTAGAGGTTTAAAGACATAATTTTATCCCCATTCAAATTCATGGACTGACGGAATGATTTATGCATGAACCATCTCAGACCCACAGATTAACAACAACTCTTCACTAAAGAGCAAAAATAGGGGAATGCCTGGCTGGCTCAGCCCACAGAGCGTGGGACTCCTGGATCAGGGTCATGAGTTCAAGCCCCATGTTGAGTGGAGAGCTTACATTTAAAAAGAGAGAGAAAGAGTGAAGACAAATTACATGTTTGGTTTTTTTTTTTTAAATACATGCCCAGTGTGGGGCCCAACTCAGGACTTAAACTCATGACCCTGAGATCAAGACCTGAGCTGATATCAAGAGTCAGATGCTCAACCAACTGAGCCACTCAGACACCCCGAGGAGACTATTTTGTAACTTGATTGAGATTAAAATTTGGTGCTCAGGAGCTTTAAAAGATACCAGCAAATTCACAGAGACAGAAAGTAGATTAAGGGTTCCCAAGGCCTTGGAGGAGAGGGGACATTATTGCTTAATTCATTACAATTTCCATGTGGGGTAATAGAAGAGTTTTGGACACAGATATGGTAATAGTTGCACAACCTTGTGAATATAATTACTGCCACTGAATTGCACACTTCAGAATGGCCAAAGTGAAAACAACATGGCTATGATGTGATTTATATACTTTTTAAAGATTTTTTTTTTGGTGGGGAGAGGGAGAGTGTTGTGGGGAGGAGCGGAGGGAGAGGGAGAGAGAGAACTCCAAGATTCCTCACCAAGCGTGAAGCCTAGCAAGGGGCCCAATCCCACAACCCCTAGACCATGACCTGAGCCAAAACCAAGAGTCGGACACCCAACCAATGGAGCCACCCAGGCGCCCCAGTGTGATTTATATTTTAATACACACACCCCAAATAAGT